ACGAATGATATTTAAAGTGCCTCTTAACCCAATCAAAAAGGTTTATTAATCAAAAAAAAAATTAAAAAAAAAAAATAAAAACAAAAAAAAAATTGATAATAAAAAAAAAAAAAAGAAATTAATAATTAACGAATATCCCTGAGACACATTCGCATGAGTTAGAAGAATGGAATGTACAAGTTTAGATCTCTGAAAATCAATGGAAATAATTGTAATGTATGCATTGAATTAACACACCAAATAACCCAATCAAAAATCTCATTGAAATAACAAAATACCTTTATTAATGACAATTATCATTATTTATAATTTATAGAAGCGGGACCTGCTTGTTCGACAACTTCGGGAGGTGAATGCGCCGCTTTGAACCTATTGAATGCAGCTTGTATAATCCTACGAGTGGTCTAGAAAATGACAGCAAAAAATTTAGTATTATCCAATAAACAAATTTCATTCGCTTGATTATATGAATGATTTATCATACCGATGGCCTTTTTTCATGACGATTATTTATCTTTGCACCTTTTAAGAAACGAGGAGATATGACGGTTACTCTATTTTGTGGTCCAATTTCGACCATTCTTTGTGAACACAGAGGTGAACCAAATGTAGGCCGAAATGCTTCATGCTCCGGGAGCTCTGAATAAAATATCATCAATTATCTTTATCTCTCCTCTGAGCTAACATTTCATTTACTTGAATTATATTACAAATAAAATGTGCTTACCTGTTTTGCGAGCACTTAATTCTTCTGGATGACCTAATCTCAGTTTGAGATATGCTCCTTTGTCATTACTAATATATCTACATGGCTCTTTTTTAGGTGGTGAAGGCCAATCACCTTTTGATAACGATGAGATGTTTGTATATTTCGCAACGAATTGTGGATTATTAACAGCAGGTAAATTTGCAGCAAAAGGTATAGTACGAAGGCCCTTATCAACTTTGTATGACATTTTAAAGTATGTTGAGGCTTTTTGTTGTTGTAAAGAATCCCACTGATCATTCGA